AGGAGGGACTCCATGGGGGTCTACCAATGGTCAATAGCGTCACCGACGTTTTTTGGGGATGGACAAAAAAATGGTGATAAAACATGGTTGGGACGTCGCCGGGACTGAAAGCACATGATCAGAGGGGTAATTCATTTTATTCAAAATCACGTACTGTATATAAAAATATTGGTAAAGTATTTGGGCCCTTTTTTAAAGAAAAAAGACAAAAACAAAATATACAAACAACTGTGGAGTCTTTCCTTCTGAAATGGCGAGGGACTCCAAGGGGGTCTACAAATGGGTCAAATAGCGTCACGGACGTTTTTTGTCGACGGACAAAAAATTAGGTAATAAAGTTGACAGGGACTTAGAAAAGCTTGCGCTTTCAGTAATAGAACACGGCTGGGACGCCGCGGGGACTGAAAGCGTTTAATCAAAGAGGGCAGAGTCTTTCTTTCGGGAGTCGGGCTTCTGGGCCCTTTTCTTTGTTAAAAAAAAAACCAATTAACAGTCTTTCCTTCTGAAATGAGGAGGGACTCCAAGAGGGTCTACAAATGGGTCAAGTAGCGTCACGGACGTTTTTTTGTCGACAGACAAAAAATCGGTGATAAAGTTGACAGGGACTTAGAACTAAGGTCAATAAGTTATACGTAGTGTAGATATAAGTTGAACGTTAGCCGTTATTTTTTCAATTTATAAACGGTTTAACTTTTATATAAACTCAATATTATATGGTCGAAATCGTGGATTTTGCACTTAAGAACTGCACCTATATCTAACAAAAACCGACACATATTTTTATATTTGCGCAATTTTCGGATATAATATATGACCTAGAAAACTGCACCTAAATAATATCGGTTGTTGTGTATACGATATAAAAGTTGAACTTTAACTGTTATTTTCTCAAATTATAAACGGTGTAACGTAAAAAATTTTGACGTTAGACTTAGAAAAGCTTACGCTTTCAGTAATAAAAATATTTTTCAGTTTGTGGACTTTTGTCTATATGACACCTGTCATCATAAAATCATTAACGTCCGAGCCCGCGCTGTAATTTTTTGAAATGACGGTGTCCGTCCGGTTTTTGGACGATTTTGAAACAGCTATTTTCCACAGAGGAATAGTTTGCGGCTTTGCTGCTTTGCGCCTTGCATGGTGCCAATAGAGTATAGACACACAGACACAGTTTCCCATAATTTTGGAACCTGAATTTTGTCAACCCGGTCACCGGTGTCCGGTGTGGTCGGCCTAAGGGCCCGTATAAATGAAAAATCTTTTTTTGCGAAATAGTTAAGATAAAATAGGGCAGTAGGCCTATTTTGCTTGTGTGATGCCCTGCACGCTACTCCTCGATATTTTTCTGGATATTTGACCGAAAATAGTAAACGCACTTTTCAGCGATTTTCTCTGTCATGACTCACTTTTCAACACGCGATGCAATTGGCTCCTTGGAAATGCGCGGGTTTGCAGTAAAATTATACAAAGGTAACCAAAACACAACACAACAAGAAATACGTGCGCACTATGCACGTACACGTACACATATGCTACATGTTTTCGGAGGTACCTTATATTAACTCATATCAAATAACGGTCTTTTGCTAGAGTCCATATGCTAGGGAAACATGGCCGCAGCAGAGATATTACAGAGCAATAATCAACGAGTAGGCAATGGTGCGTGTGAAGACGAAGATGAGATGCCGATGTCATCAAGTGGTATTGATCAATCGAGCGACGATGATAATGAGAGTCACGATGAATCCGATAGCAGCAGTAATGAGGACGAAAGTGAATTTTATTCTGATAGTGACTCTGACAGCGAAAGTAGCAGTGATAGCGACAGTAACAGTGACGGTGACAGTGAGAGGGAATCAGATGAAAAGCTGATTGACATGGGCATTGATCAAGAGACAAAGTTGACCCAGGACATAATGTGGCTTATTATAGTTACGATAGCATCCATTATTCCTGTTCTTAGAAGTGTTCGCTATAAAGCCAAGGCGCGAATGGTATACAGATACCGACCTATCTTTGACGAAGTAGCTGGGCACTCCCTCCAGATGGGCCAATTTGATAACGATTTAAAGATGACGTATGCACAGTTTATGATACTGAAGGAAGCTACAACGCCTGTACGCCAGAGAGACAAGTTTATGGGAAATTTGATCATCGGCCGGATATAAGTTGATGTACAACTTGCATTAACATTGCGAACATTGCGAATATTAGCGAGTGGTCAAACGATTGATCTCCAATACGTATTCTGTATGCATAAAATAAAACCACAATATATTCAATATTCAAACGAGTAGTGGCAGCTATCAACGAGTTAACAACACTTAATGCTTTGAACTTGAACTTCCCAACATCGGAATCTGAGTGTGAAGTGATTCCTAATAGCTTTCGTGCACGATCGAGTTATGTGGTGATCTCTCATTGTGTCGGCGAAGCCGATGGTTTATTTGTGAATACTATATTACCACCAGTAGATGATGCAAGTGTCAGAGAGAGATTCTTTTTTGGACACAAAATGGCTATAGGCGTAAGCTGCCAAGCCATTTGCGATCATAGATATCGATTTTTGGCATTCGTCTGTAACTCATATGGCTCGGTCCACGACAAGAAAGCATTCGATGCTTGCGGATATAAATAATAGCGGACGGGTAGGTAGTCTTGACAAGAACTTTATACAACATGTACGTTCCTTCGCAACTTACTTTGAACATGTGCTAAATCAAGAACAGCACGAGTATGTATACAACCAGTTAGGTATTCAAAACTACTAAGATTTAGCTTTGCGCAACAAAAACCCCAATGTGTCACTGCAAACACACATCGCTGGCACTGTGGAAGAATGGGGCTTGAACCTAAGCGACGCAACCCGATACATCGTTCCAACAATACGGATGGTAATGGTGATGACGTCTAACAACACAGCGGCGTGTAATGGTGATGATGTTGATATGGTTGTAAATATTTAATAAATTGCCATTCATATATGTACAAGTTTATTTGTATATGTCGTCTAACTACTCTACGTTAGTTTGGGCATGGACTGCTAGTTCCTTTACAAGGTTTGCACGAATAACCGCAAGTGCACACCCTCCTCCTCACCAAGCTTAGATCGCATTTCATCAATATCGTGCAACTCTTTCATGATAGATTTTAATCTCCAAAGCTTTGGCTTCGAACCTTTGGTCTACTTTTTAAGTGCTAGTGACCGCTCCTGTCCGATGACTGCTCGCTCTATAACCCCAGCGATACGCTCCAACACAACGACATCGCTTTTGTACCCTTTGTTTTCTTCTTCTTATCAACCTTTCTTTTCTTCTTTTCTGGAGAGAGATCTGACAGTGAGCCATTGCAACTTGTGCTCGAAAATGATGCAGATGTATCACCAATACGGGATTCACCGGAGTCAGTAGTTTCAGAGCTGCGCTTGCGACCCTGAGCAGCAAGTACCGGGTCCACTCATATAGACGGCGGTGCGGAGGTGGATCCAAATCCCAAACAGGGATCAGCCATCTTTAGTTACCGCTCCTGTCCGATGACTACTCGCTCTATAACCCCAGCGATACGCTCCAACACAACGACATCGCTTTTGTACCCTTTGTTTTCTTCTTCTTATCAACCTTTCTTTTCTTCTTTTCTGGAGAGAGATCTGATAGTGAGCCATTGCAACTTGTGCTCGAAAATGATGCAGATGTATCACCAATACGGGATTCACCGGAGTCAGTAGTTTCAGAGCTGCGCTTGCGACCCTGAGCAGCAAGTACCGGGTCCACTCATATAGACGGCGGTGCGGAGGTGGATCCAAATCTCAAACAGGGATCAGCCATCTTCCCAATCATCTCTATAGTATTATTATCTGACGCGTACGAGTAAATAGCCACCTGTGTCAAAGTAAGTGTAAATGTATTCATGATATGTATGCGTCTTTTTAATGTGTATAGTGTGTGCGTACATATGATTAATTTACATATATAATTAATATATGCGTGTGTGCATAATCTATCTACGCGCACACGTCTATATAGTGTGTGCGTACATATATTTATATATATATATATATATATATATATATATATATATATATATATATATATATTATATATATATATATATATATATATATATATATATATATATATATATATATATGTATATATATATATATATATGTATATATATATATATATATATATATGTATATATATATATATATATATATATATGTATATATAGTATATATGTATATATGTACATATATATATATATATATGTATGTATATATGTATATATATATTTATATATATTTATATATATTCATAGTTTAATTGTATGTATATGTAATTATATAATTAAAACATTATATATATATTTAAAATTTGTATATAGGCGTATATACTATATACTATACATATATATATATAGATATAATATATATTTATAGTATTTATATACATTTTTATATATATATATATATATATATATAGTGTTAGTATCTACACTACACTATACTTATAGTTGTTCGTAGTATACGGCCGCACTA